ATGTTTGTTAAAATTATTGCTAACTACTTTGCCTCTTCGAATATCCATATCTAATCATCCATTTATATTCAAACTTCGATTTTAAAACTTGCATGTGCATTACTAAGAACTGCTTTTCAAAGCATACACTTTTATATACGAATCAATACTTAGCATCAAGGAGATCTCAAAATTGGTTCAATCAAAAGCGATCCTTTCTATATAGCTCCTAAATAGGGGCAAAGCATCCAAAAAATAACCCTATAATCATAAGAAATACTATTGATCGTAGGGGCATATCACATGAAGATCATATTGACTAGGGGTGATCATTCTGAGATTCAATCAACTTGGATCACATTTCAAAGCACCAATCAGGGGCATACCTTTTGAAGGAGCATTTCTTAATCAAGTCATATCACAACATGGTATGAATCAGTTTCATCTTTTCAACAAACTTCTCAAGGTCCTAATAATCACGGGGTAACCATCCAAGACTCAAAGGTTGAGGCAACATATATCAAGTTCATCTTACAGAATGTAGGGTTCAAGTTCCCTTTCAAGTGATTTAGATACAAACTCAACAAGATTAGAATACTTGGTAATTCATATCGAACCTATATCATGGAGATCTAAGAGTACCTCCTCCAAATTATGGATATTGAGGGGAATTCCTTTTAAGGAACTCAAATATAGGGGAAAACCACTGCGAGGCTCGATCAAGAGAATTTGATCAAAGACGTTTGTCTTTAAGAGTTCATTAATCAGGGGCATAGTTCAAGATAGCAGGGTCATTCATGATCAAACTAATTCCGAAATCATGTCAAGAAGAATATCTCAAAGACCCTACCAACAAATTGGAACAAGAGAGACCACGAAGGGGCAAGCTCTCCTCCTATATCAGAAATCTTCGAGTTTGAAACGAGCATCAGGAAATCATGCAAGCACATCACTCTACCACCATGTGACAAGCAGCCTTGGAAGATTCTTGGAACAATATCAAAATAGCAATGCCCTCACGAAATAGGTATGCTCAGCTGTAATAACCTCCAAAAAATATAGAGTCGCCACCATAATTTTTATCCTAAGGATGGGTGAATAATAGAATAACCCTAAATCGGTTAAGATATTCTAGATTCTAGACTCGCTTTAGGCGAATGGAAGGTGTTAAGAACCAATTATCTACCTTGTTCACAAGGATACTAGGATTTAAGTTAAAGGTTTAGGAATAGGGTTTTAGTTTTTTAATTAGGGGACTCGCCACGGTTTTTAAGTCATATGTCTACGTATCCTCTTATGAGGAATCAAAGTCCCAATTCGTAGTTCGTAGTGTTAGTTGGTGTTTTTATAGGATTGCGTAAAATTACTTTTGAATTATCCTTGAACCTTGTATGGGTTATAAGTTGAGTGATCATAGACGCAATTCGTAGTTAATTTTGAAAGTATTTCTATTAAATTCTTTTTTCGAAAATCTCTTGGGTTCTATTATGTTAGGAAAAAATGGTTTGATAGTTGGTTAGCTATTTTAGGGTGAGGATATTAAGGTTGGATGGTGTATTAGAAGAAAATCTGGACCCAAATATATTTTGAGCCCAAATTGGCCGAGGGGTGCATTTTGCAATATGGTAGTAAAACCCGGGGGTGTGAATAGCAAGGCCCAAATCAAAATATTAGATTTGGCCCAAAGCGCAGAGGGGGTGTCATTGAATTGAGGAAGTAATCGTGGGGGCGCAGATAGCATGGACCCAAGTTCAGAAATTAAACTTGGCCCAAATAAACAGGGGGGTGTAAGCTGGAGTTGGGTCAAAAAGAATATGGTGGATGTATATTCACCAATCCTATTATTTGTAACATGTTTGAATTAATTTAATTATCATTTGATTATAGGCATTGATTAATTATTATTGTATTTTTGAATTTTTATTAGACTAAAATAATAAACTAAATTACTCTAAAAATAACCTAATAAACTAAATTATTAAATAAAATTAAACACCTAATTACAATTATACTTAATTAACTAAATTAACTAAATTAACCTAAATAAAATAGTTTAACCAAAAAAGTAAGAACATGTAGACCACTAAAATCAATTTAAATAAATAAACCTAAACCTTATTTAATCTAAATCTAACTAGTAATGACAATGAAATAAATAAAAAGTAAATAGTTATAAAAAAGTCGAAAGTATAAGTTACCGTATTTCCTCACGTTAAGAAATTAGGCCAAACCTAAACTATATTTTAACTTAACTATATCCAACAGAGATATGACACGTGGCACCATATTTTTTAATTAAAAATAAATAAATATTAGCAAAATGAATGAAGAGAGAGAACCAAATTTCTAGACTTTATTTCCCTTCTTCTCTCGTACTGTATCAAGTAATAACAACAATTCCACTATTTTTTCCTTCAATTAGAACCACAAAATTGAACCCGCAATACAACAAACTTTAATTTCTTCAAAGTAAAGAAAGTCAAACGTGAAACAAATCAATTATCTAAAAGAAGAAGAGGAATACCGTAAAATAACTCGACGACATAAAATTGGCGGCAACATCTTCATTCATGGTGTTGGACTACGAACATCGGAGGTTGGAGGAGTTGTTGTTTATATTGTTTGATAGTGTTGCTTTTGGATTTATTTCTCAGAGTTTCTGTTCAGAAATCTTGAAATAAACCAAAAGTAAGAGAAATATTGAGATTGTGAAATTGTGGATTTTTGGATCAAAAATTATGTTGGACAATAGTCCTATTTATAGACATAGAATTAAGTTTAAAAAAATTAGAAAGTAAGTTACCCAAAAATCAAAAGAAGCCCAAAGCCCGATCTCTAAAAAATGAAAGAAAATTAATAATAAAAAATAGAAAAAGAAAATGTTACAACTGCAACACAAGAGATTCAAACCTGCAACCCCATACTTACAAGCTTCATTCCTTACCAATTGTGTTATGTTATTCATTTGAAATGAAAAACCCAATTGAAATTATATGAAAGTGAACAAGTATTTGTTATTTACAATACAAATAATTTGAAATAAACTATTATACATTTTTAAATGAGCAAAATAAATTATTGTTAAAATGTTCGTAAAATTGAACCAAAGAATACTATAAAAATCAATGTTGAAAATATTTTTTGCTGTAAAAATAAAGGGCTGGTAAAATTGATGTATGATACATTCCTCAAGAGGATTGGTATATTGGTTGAGATATCAAGGTGGTTAGAAAATTGGTTGAAATATCAAGGTCATTTAATTCATCATTCATCAAGTTACCGTTTCACGCTTCATTATTTCAACTTTTGGTTACTTGAAGTAGAAGTTATTGTGGAATGATTATCAAACAACTAGGGTTTTCATAGGCCAAAATGCTAAGGTCAAAGCATCATTTCAAAATACAAAATCAAAAGACATGATAATTCGTACATGGAGACAAAATCAAATAAGGGTTAGGATTTCAAGTTCATGGTAAAAGAAAAAGTTTTCTTTGAATATATGAAGTTTCATAAATTGAATGCAAGAAAGTACAAAATGTTTTGTTCCATTGTTATCACAAAGTCATCACCATTACAAATTTACTAATACATTAAGTAACAAAACACATGAGGACATTTACATCAAAACCAGAACTTAAGCCTATTCAATGTTCATTCAATTTCATGCTTCCATATCATTCTTCGTTATTCAAGACCTCTTCATTTCCTCCAAAAGATCTTCATGTTTCAACATTCTTCATGCCATGCCATTTGAATCCACAACCATGACCAAAGCTTCACATTTTCAAATGATCATGCCATTACACCAACAACGACAGCTACATCCCTGCAATAAGAAAAAATAGTTCAAAATAAATGATGCCCTGCATCAGTTCTAGGATATTAAAAAAACCACAAAACAAAAACATAAAATAGAAAAAGGAATCGTGATAAGCAAGCTGAATACACTAAACTTTCACTTCTAACAACTTTATAACAAAAATTTCTAAACTAATCTTCTAATTGAGTTCATCACCACCATCAGATCTATAACTGACTCCACGATCCTAGGGCCTAAATTACATCTCCTTCAACTAACTTTCCCAACCTTCAACTGGCTATAAAAATCATCCATCACATTCAGATTGAGGCACGATTCATTTTCTCAATTTTCTTTCACTCTCCTTCATCCTCAATCTCTCTCTCTCTGTAACTCTGAGTATTCTTCACCATCATCACAGTCAACACACTCCATTTCCACTAACCCTCGTCTTTCACCCTCTGAATTGAATCTCCACCACTCACCTTCTTCATCCTCTTAACCTTACGTTCAACCACAAACTCATCACAATCATTGCACCTCATAATCTCTCTGAATCATCACCTTATTCCTCCTTCAATTCACTCACGCTCTTCCAATCTCAATCGAGCCTCTCAACACAACGCACATAAGTAGAATCAACAACAGAACATCAGTGCGCTGAAAACAAAAACACAGAAGAAGAAGAAGAAAGAGAGATGGAGTAGACGAAGCAGAAGAAGAGAAAGATAGTAAAAGGACGAAGCAGAGTGTACCTGAGAATCAAAGCTTCACCAGAGTCTACAGATGGCGCCACCGTGAGGTAGGCCTCATTTACTCATTTTCTTGATACCATGTTGTAGAGGGAATGATGTACATCATTATCCCTAAGGTTTTGTGTTCTGAAGCTTCACTGTTAGCATTTAATTTGGTTTCTTAGTTTTACAGGGTTTGGCTATACGTATAGATTTGTAGATATTAAGAAGGAATCAAGAGAATCTAAGGCAAGATTTACGTATAGGACGTTGATACATTTATTTCAGCATAAGAAGCTCTGAGTTCTGGGTGATCAGTCGTCGCGGCCGCCACTGGAGGGCGTGCCGGCGCGGCGGTGCTTTTGAATGTGAAGAAAGAAATATACGAGCATGAGAGGGGAAAATTCGATTTGAAGGGAGCTAAAGAGTCATAACATAAAGAAAACGATGCATTTAAGTTTCCTTATCTTATTGTCTTTTCTTAATTTTTAATTCTTTTTGGTCGTTTCTGATTCATGATGTGATGAGAATTGGGCTCCAAACCAGTGGCCCACTGGTTTATCACCACGCACCAACAATATCACTATCCACCACGCGCCTGTTTTTGTTTTTTGTTTTTTTCTGAATAAAGAATTATGGGCTTCGAACAGAAGCCCAACACCATTCAGTGGCCCCACACCATCAGTTTTCCATCTTATACCCCTGCATGCTTTATTTTTGCTAAAATTTTGCTCTATTTTTGTTTGCAATATATTTAAGTTTTTTTTTTGCATGATTCTTTTATTTTAATATTCACAAAACGTGACATAAAAAATGTATGAATATCTTGATCTTGACTTTTAGATAATCTCCTTATTTGTGTTCATGAAAATTGCTAGAAAATATGCTTTAATTCCTTTAGAAATTCATGTGGGTTTTAGGGTTTCTTTGATTAAGTCTAAACTTTGAGACCAATTGTATGATAACATTTAAGTTAGATTTTCCCCTAAAAAATTCAATATTAAGAGTCCATCTTATGTATGACAACAATTAGGATTGAGCTTCCCTTGTTTTGCTTTCCTTTTGTATTGCATCTCACTTTTCTTTTAAAAGACAAAAATCATTTTCTTAATCAAATATAAAATACTTAATAAATATGATACGTATAATACACCATGAGCCTTAAGTACATGAAGAAGACTTTGAATCCGAGACGTTTGACTCAATCACTCAAAGGCCTTAATGTCATAGAATTTAGTATAATATGTATCTCAAACAATTTCAAAATTAAAGGAGATGGATTCAAGTACCCCTAGGGACCACTTAAGGGATCTCCTAACAAAGCACTTCAACAAATCCAATCCTTTCCACCTTTCTCTTTAAAAACTTTTCAAAAGGGCATGTTAATTTTGTTCTACCATAATACCGGTAACGCGTGAGTCTCCACATAACAAGCAACAACACCTAATGCTAGGACGCAAATGTTAACATCGTCCACTAAAAAACACCAAACAAACCAATATTTTTTAAAAGAACTACGAAGTTTTAATTTCTTCATTACACTATGAGGATAGGTAGGTATTGGGTTGCAAAACCTAGGCGAACTTAATAATAAAAACCTTTTCTTTTTCCAAATAATTCATTCACGCATTTCTTAGCAAGTAAGCTTTAGATAGACACACCCTTAGATTCAAACAATTGAAGTAGATCTCGTTGATTACAAGGGATATGAGGGGTTCTAATACATTCCCATTGCATAACCGACTTCCGTACCCTTCTCTTGGTTGTGTTAACCATCATATCATTCATTTTGTATTTTCTCGATATTTTTCTTTTCTTCAGAATAAATAAAGTTCGGTGGCGGCTCTATGTTTTTTCGCAATGCGACAAGATGCTTCAATATAGAAAATCCATGTTGACGTGTTTCTTCTATTTCCATCAGAGCTTTATTCTTTAGGCTTTTCTTCCAATTGATTGAGAAATACATTCCTGTAGTATCTTGGCTTGTTGTATACGAAACAAATGACATCTTTTGTCCTCATCAGACTTCTTTTGTCAGATGATGACTAAGAATATCTTTTTGATCTTCTATAGCTTCTGAACACCTTCCGTGTTTGCTTCTAAAGTTGGTTAAAAGATTTTGGACAATATAGATACTTTGTCTTCTTCATCAGAGACACATTCAGGTTCATCTCATCATTATTGTTAGTAGATGAAGGAACTGCTCCCAATGTGTTTCAAAAATTATATCTTTTTCTGACATGGTTAAGTGTTTGATAACATCAATAATAAAACCGAAACTCTGATACCAATTAAAGGTTCAATAAAACATAAGAAAGAGGGATTTGAATTGGGTTTCATGATTTTTTTTTCAATCACCCAAATACAAACAACACAAAAGCAACAATGATGGATAACACAAGAGATTTTATCCTGGTTCACTGTTAACTAGGTTACTTCAAGTCCACCCACCAAGGTGATTTTTCCTTCTCAACAAGGAATTAATCCAAAAATCAATAACTTAATTGCAACAACAAAGACTACCCATAAATATTTTTTTATGCTTCTGATTATACCCCAATCCCTCAAGGAAATCAACTAAAAGGCAACCTGTCAACGACTTCTCGATTAATTTGACTAAAAACTTAGTCACTCAAGGAATTTAACCAACTGATTAATACAAGGTTGTTTGTATACATAATTGCTTATACAAAAAGCAGATTACACAAATTTAAGCTTTTAAAAGTAAACACTTTAATGATTTGAGATATAAATTTATAAATGTTCCTTTCTTGTTGTTCTTGACGATCTTCTTACCACTTTCTCTTTTCCTTCTAGTTGGATAGTCTTTTTGCTTCCATTTCCAGTGTGTTAGCTTGTTTCTTCAATTTCATGTATTTCTTCGTTGTATATTGTAGCAGTAAAAATTGGAGTTCAAGCTATTGATTAACTTGACTCGCAAATAAGCAAGAGTCGCCACCGCGCTTTATTATTTCCAAGGGAAAAGGGAAAAGAGCTAAATAAAACCCTTAAATATGCAATATAAAATAATACTTAAAAGTAATGAAAATACAATGCGTTTTTGAAAGAGATCTAAAGTTCGGGGGTTGGTTATGCAAAGGGAAGGTACTAGCACCCAGTGCATCTGCGGTACTCCGCAGGAACCTTTTGAAATATCTATTTTTTATTAAAATTGTTTGTTTGGTCAAAATGGTTTGTTTGGTAAATATGGGAGTGGACGAGATTTTGAAGATACGACGACCTAGTGTCGAAGTTTTGACTTAAAAAGTGTGAGTTTTAAAATTGAGTCTTTTAGGAAAATTAACTTAAGATTAACGAAATAGTAAAACAAAAATGAATGAAGGTATTTGCAAAATCTTATAGGATGTATTTGATGACATGAAGTCAACAAAATTAAAACATTTCCCTTAGAATAAAGCAAACAAACGATAGAGATAGAGTAAGCTATTAAAATGAGCTAAATTGAAAATATCACAAAATTAGCCAACACAAAAAATTAAATTTGAATAATAAAGGGAATAATGATAATATATACAATGAGAAAATAAATACAGAGATAAAGAAAAATCATGAAGTAAAAATATTTAAATCAAACGAAAGTTATCTAAACTAAATTGAAATTTTAAAAGTACTAATTTAAATCAAAACTAAATTAATTCTAAACTAAAGAATAAAATTCTAAGACTAAATTAAAACTCTAAAGTTATCAGAATATATTTAAACTAATTAGAGGTTCTAAATTGCTAATTTAAATCTATTAAAATTCTAAAATTATCAGAATACATCTAAACTAATTAGAGTTCTAAATTCTAATTAAAATCTAGCTAAATAAAAATTTTAAAATTTACTAACCACATGAAAATTAAATTTTCAAAATTGCTACAATGATTCTAAATTTAAACTAATTAATTAATGAAACTAAATTCTGCCTTAAGCTATCTAGAGGGTATACCAAAGCAGAATTTGGAACTAGGCAACATAGGTGAATGGGGCGTTGGGCTTGAGGGAAGAGAGTTCCAAAATGATACATGGGTGCAGGGCTGGTGTTAACATCAAGTTAGATGGTGTTGTTGTGTAAATTCGGACTGGGCTTAAAGACTACAAGCCCAAAAAATGAAAGTTAAAGGAAAAAAACCTAGAGAGTTAATGAAACGCCGCTGCTGTTGGTGTTATTGTAACTGTTCTATTGCTTTTCGGTGCAGGTATTTGTGGTTTCATTTTGGGCAAGTTTTGGACAACAAAGATAGTAACAAGGCTGTTTGCAGACTGGTTTTTATGCAGGTTTTGGAGTGAAGTAGCAACAAGTTTGGGGCCTTTTGGACAACAAATTTGGACTGTTTTATTTGGTTACTTATGCAGGGATATGGATTAGTTTTGCAAGTTCAAAAATCTGGTATTGGGACCACAACTTTATTGGACATAAAACAGTAAAACAAATACAATAGTAATAATAATGATAAAAGGTGATTTTTGTTAGTAATACAAAAATAGAAGGATAATAATGATAAAAATAAGATGCAAACAAAATTATATGTGTTGGGAACAAAAAGACTGATTTTCGCAATAGTTCTCTAATATCACAATCCATCCCCTCTATAAATATTTTTATCTTCTATTTCTAATAAGAATACCCTCTCTGTAAAGGACGGAGATTTATTTAGTGAATTGTTTGAAGTCATTCCTACCTAGTAAGACGATTAGTCTTATAATGGGAGTTAGGTTGTGATTCCACTTGTTGAGTAAGTGACTCCTAACACAAGGGGAGGGAGGAGGGGGTGGGGGGCTAAATTTTGTTATTTGGTTTTTAAAACATTTTTCAAAAGATTGATTTTAAGTTGATTGATTTTAAGAAGTAAGTATAAGTAGATATTAGGCAGTGGAAAAATCACTATAACAAATAATATATTTCATGACAAATCTTTCACTTCAGCCATTAAAAATCTAAGGTCAAATAACCTAGAACGCGCCATTATTCATTATTTTTTAAAAAGATATCTTATACTTAGGTTTTGGCCAAAATCGACATAAAATATTGCTCAGTATTAGACTTTGATTCCTAGCTCCTACAATTTTAAGTTTTATTTAGAACCAAAAAGGCGCCTATATTTGAGAAATCATCTTATCCCTCGGTTTTTAAAAATCATGACACCTAGAAAATATATTTTATTTTTTATTGGAAAAATATCTTTATTGGTCCCTTAACTATACCCTTGGATTCAGAATGGTCCCTTAATTGTTTTTCGTATCATATTGGTACCTTAACTTTCAAAATGTATCATTTTAGTCCTTTTTGTCTGAATAGCGATGAATTTAGCAACCAATTTCTAAGTTTTTCCATCTATAATTAGACAAAAATGACTAAAATGAAACATTTTGAAAGTTAAGACCAATATGACACGAAAAATAATTAAGGAACCAATTTAAACCCAAGGGTATAATTAAGGGACCAAAAAGGATATTTTGTCTTCTTTTATTTGTAAATCAAATTATTTAATCATTCGATTTCTCAAATAATCGAGGGAATATATAATCATATTTTACTATGAAAGCACTCGTTAATAAATTTCTACCATCACCCTAACGTATATGTAGTCGCTCCGCTCCAAACTCGTATGCATCAGTCTTTTGCAAGACATAAAAATCTTGAATGTTCTTTTTTCTTTCTTGAACAAATTTTTTTTGCCCTTGAAATCTATCCCACATGTTGGTGTTATTGTTTTATAATAACCTTCATATGTTGTTAATCAAAGGATATACAACAAAAATATGCTCA